GACATGTTCGACAATGAAACACCATCAATTGACAAACATTGGGAAACGTTACTTCTTATAGCAAATGTGAGTGTTCAAATAACGACAGAAAGGAAACCAAGTTTCGTTGAAATTTTGGTAGTTGATTGGTTTGCGGATGAGTCACAAGAAGAAATTGAAGACGAAATCAGTGTAGTGCCAATAGATTTCTCCAAAAATTCTCTATTTGGAGATGTTTTGGATGAAAAATTGAAAAAGAAAGGTAAGCTTTTCGAGAAGAACAACCTTCTGAATGATCAGTACGCAAGGAGGATCGAGAATAAAGAAATATCGAAGGGTCTCATGAAGAACAGAAGGAACGCGAGCTTGGTAAACCTGAAGTTGAAATATTTGGATGCGTTAGATAGATTGGAAATGTTAAAATTATCTGTGAAATATATGATTTGATAAATAAAAATACATTTAAAAAAAACCTGAATTTTATTTTTTATCCCAATTTTCTTGATTCATTATATTCCCACTTTTCTTGTGTTCATGAAAACTAACGATTTTGGTCAATCATTAATTCAATATTTATCTTCAGTTATACTACAAAATGTGTCTTGTTGATTCAAATAGAAAAATAAATATATGAATTCAATATTTATAATTAATCAATTATCATTTAAAAAATATCTAAGAAACCAAGGTTTGTTGCAATTTTGGTAGCTAACTAAATCCCATAAGTCACAAAAAGAAATAGAAGATGAAATCAGTATCAATAGTTTACTCTAAAGATTTTGATTTGGGAGATATTTTCGATGAAATATTGAAGAAAAAAAGTATATTTTTTGAGAAAAACAATGATGAAATTGAAGAGATCCATGGAGAACAGGAAGAACGCGAGCTTCGTTAAACTTACTAAACTTTTGTTTCATTTTTATCTCATTTTTTTTCTATTCAGAAAGTATTTTCTGTAATTTTAATTGTTGTTTGAATCTTTTTGTAAAAAAACTAAAAATAACAAAAATTTAACGGTTTTCGTATTATATAAAAGGAATCTCATCTAAAACTTTGTAGATTAAAAAAAAAAAAAATTGAGTTGTTGAACTACAGTTTTTGACGGTATAATTTACATTTACATTAGCATTAGAAATCAAGTAAGAAAGACGTGATATTATTTAGATTTTAAACGTATAAACCTATAAAATTGTGTATTTATTAATCTGTTGTAAAAGAGGCGAATTTATTTATCTAATAACAATCAGAAAATGTAATTAAATTCATATAAAAAAAAATAAAGGAATTTCTTTTATAAACATTTTATTTATTCATATTGGTTTATCTATAATTGATTTGCATTTACGATTTACGTAATCGAAAAATAAAATAACAACGTATTTGGAAATACATAGGAAGTCTGAAACTAACATATTCATTATTAACAATCACAACTGCGTAACAAATTACTTAAAAAACAAAACTAATATAAATAAATCTCGATATGTCTGCATCATAATAAATAATCTCAATCTCAAGTATTGAGAATGTCCATTCGCTATTGCACACACATACATAATATAAATAACTAAACTTAATTACTAAAAAAATAAAATAGTTGCTTGATCAATAATTTGTTCTAAAAATAAGCATTTGCTTTTCAATTTCATTATACTAAAAAATCATAATTAACTTATTTAATATTTTGTTTTATTTATTAATAAATTTAGGTCAAATTTATATATAAATATGAAATAACAAAAATGTATACATGACAATTTTTCTTTTCTTATATAATTTTTTTTTTTTTTTAATTATTTAATAAATTAGTAATTTTATTAATTACTAAATTAGAAAAAAATATATGAATCAAGCAAGAAAATTTAAAGAACAAATTATCAATGTTTGTTAAAAAATAATAGTAACTACAAACAATAAATAATGGCCAAAAAAACGATATATCCTTACAATTATTACAATTTTTGGAAGTAAAAGGAGTTTTTTTAAGACCTTTCGCTTCCAAACTTTTCACGAAATGCAAAAAATTTACCTACAGAATATCAATCAACAAAATTTTAAAAAATCGATATAATTTTTTTTCTATTCCATTCAAAAAATTGTTGATTTCACTTCATCCCGTTAACTAACTCATCTAATAAAAACAATCCCAATTTAAGTTAAGTGTATGTACAGTGGTTGACGGTAGGTGTTAGTCTTATAAGATCCTTCCATATCCTCGCACGGATGCGGATTGTCCCATGCAAGGACTCTCGTGCAGGAGGAGTTTGCTGCCGTACGCCGATCCTGATCCGCTGCTGCTCGAGAACACGCTGCGTGTGTAATATGGCATTGGGACACCGTTACGACGGGCTTTGTATAATGCCACTGCTGCAACTATGACCGCGACAAGGAATATCAATCCCAGAACGCAGAATGTTAGAGCCATTTTATCTGGTGAGACGCAGAATGTTCTGTCGCCTGGTATATTACCAAAGCGGAAAGGATCTGAAATTCCATGAATCTTGTTAGTACATGTAAAGTTATTAACAATAATTAGAATCACTTGAAACAATCGCTGAAACTAAATACAATAATAAAAATCATTTCTTACCTTTAAATGTAATAATTTTCACCAATAAATAAACTATTTACATAAGTAAAAAATAGGTGAAAAGAATTAATTACAGTGCTTTATAATAAATTTGAATTTTATAGAAACATTTTCCTCTCCAAAATATTAATGAAGAATATCTAAACTATATAACTTAATTCCCTGCTTTTTAAACGGCAATTGAAATAAAATTTACATATGTTCAGACTTACACATATTTAGGTGTTTCCGTTTATAAGTCTAAATCTTACCATAACTTATCCAATATGTAATAATTCAGATTATAAAATGTTTCTTGTATATGAAAATGCAGGTTTTTTAAGGTTTGAAAATATATATTAGAAAATTGATTACCTGCAAGTTTTGTTAAATTTATTATTCATAAAATATTTATTATACAATAAATATAAAAGTAAATACGTGAAATTCACAATATTATTACTGCTATATATTTTGTGAGTTTTCTTGTTGCTTTTTCATCTTAATTGCATGTAGTTTCACGAGTTACTCTTTATATGTGCTTCGGTTTTTGGTACAATGAACATACAGAACAAGATTGTAGTAACCAGTGCAATTGAAAAACCAAATGACCGAAATTTCTAGGAAATTACAGTCGTACAGAATACATAAGATGTTGCATGTGCTCATTATAGCATCCATGGGTTTATGTCTGGGATATAGCAAATGGACCACATGCATGTAATATAAAAGGATGTAAGAGTAAATCGCATGTCACATGTACTCCAGCAATTCAGAATATTTGAGCAACTCATGTTTATTGAATTTCACACACGATAAACATATATAAGTACATTTGCGTATTTGATATTCTGTATTTAAGTAATTAATTATTTTATTTTCCTGCAATATTTAAAACTTTACTAATGATTCTTACTAAAATGTTAATTTTCATATTACTATTAATTCCTGTTTCTACGACGAGTTTTTTTTTTCAAATTATAAGGATATATCAAATAATACAATACTTCTGTTATGCTTTATTCTTTAAGAAATGAAAGAAGAAATCAGTAAATATTTAAAAATTATTAGATTATTACTTGCATTTATATTGATGTTTTCCACGTGAAACTTATTGGTCTATTTTTGCCAATGGAATTTGAATATAATTTGCATATTTTATAACGGTAATTATTATATTCATAAATATAAAACAGAAAAATCCATATTTTTTTATTATTTCTGAATCGCAATTTTCAAAATGTATAGTAAATGATTTTTTTATAGACTCTATCCGTTTATCTTGAATATTGTTAGATAATTGTTGTTGAAAACATTTGAATGTTTTTATTATTAATATACATTCCTATCGTTTCTTTATATTTAAGTAAGAATTTTGCATTTTTTTTTGTTTATTTTTTATATTAACTTATAGATATTATTTTTGCGATTATCGATTTTGATTGTTAAAATTTCATAATTTATCAAAATGATACTGTTTTTCTATATTACAAAAATAACAATTTTAAGTACTCTGTTAATATTTGTTAGTTTAATAATAAGTCTCCATTTCAAACATTTATCAAGAAAAGGGTGCTTAACATTTGTAGTGTATGAAATCAAGTACAACCAATTAAATATCACATTCAACTAATTATCAATTAGTTAGTAGACAATACATAACTCATAACATTTCCTTATTGACTCTGTTTCTAATATATCAGAACAAGCAAATTGAATCGATCGCCCACTACACATCTTGCTTAACTTTGGTAGTGTATAAAATCGATTAGATAATCAACAATCTTAGCAATAAATTTCTTATGACGTTTCCTTATTAACGCTGTTTCTTAAATAGCAAAATGAATTGGTCACCCATTCTACACATGTTGCTTAATTCCTTAATCAAGTAACCGATAATTATTTACAAATAGTAATTTAGTAAGTAGAAATTAATTTTCTCATGAGGTTTCCTTAGAAACTAACCATATATTAACCAATTAACGGCTTAGATTAGTCCGGTTTCAAACTGTATAGGATATTGATTGAACCGATTACCCACTCGCACTATGCGAGGAATCTAGTAGATCTAGTAAATAGACTTCATATCTAATTTGCAAATGGAATCGCTCACCATTATACCAATATTGGCTAACTTTTATAAAATGCGATTAAACAAGTAACCGTTTTATCATTTACAAACAATAATATTAGTAAGTAGAAAACATAAGATTTTATTTGAAACTAACTATATATAATAATGGTTTCGATCACTCCTAATTCATTATAGTCCGGTTTCAAATTGTGTGGAATATTGATTGAAACGATTACCTGCATTATGCGTATTACTGTACTAAGACTAGTTAATATAGTCTTCATTTCTAATTGTCATATGGACCCATTCTACAAATGTTGGTTTACTTTCATAAAATGTATCAAGTAACCGTTCTATCTTTTACAAATAATATTAATAAAACGAACGTGAATGGGTGTTTGGAAATCGGTCAGAGCAATATATCACACCATGGAAGATACATATTTTTGTTGTTTATTTGTAGCTGAAGTTAGGACAACGTGTGGTGGTGGCCACGATTCGTGGGCGGACAATTTGCCAGTGAAATGGCGTCCAGCTAGAATTTATAGAGTAGCGAAAGCATTTATTAATCTGTGCATGCGGAAAAAAATGAAATGCCGACATCTGTATGGTTAACCATTTTTCATAACGTCCGAGAGATGCGCGAGTGAAATTGCTCTCGAACGAAGATATATTGCCTCTAATATAACATCGAAGCGCAATTTATTATTTACACCGCTCTCGTCGATAACCCAACAATGCGAGGAAATTGTATCTCACAATCCATCCGAATATAATTTTCATTTTTTTTTTTAAACGGGCTCTACAATCGTGCCCGGATAATTGCGTTCTACAACAAGACAAGAGAAAGAGAGAAACAGAAAAATCACAGAGTAAATAAACAGCAGCAAATACATGAAAGAGTCCTCCACCGATATTGCGAACAAGTCGTTCCATCCGATTGATGTGCATATTATAAACAAATAGTTTTTTCAGGATAATAGATTTTTTATTAGACAAATTAATTTCTCAATTTTTGATAACATAAAGCTATAGAAAAACAGTAATATTAAGAAAAATGATACAACCACCTAAAAGTTATATTTTTTTTCAGGTATTTGACGAAAATTGTGCATTTTGAAACTGTTCTTTAAACTTTTTAATTTAGCCTAAATTTACAATATTTTTGGTCCTTAATGTAGATAAAGATGCCTAGTCACATAGTATTTGTTTAGTAAAAAATCTATTATCTTGAAATAACTAATTATGAGTAACATGTAAACCCATTACAACGAGAGAAGAAGGTGCCCGAGAAGGTAAAAAATAAAAGTGCATTTGAAAATCGTGTATATATTTCATTTACATTTATGTACAGTTCACAATGCATATTATATACAAATATGTACAATCGCTTCGGAATGAACTTACCAGCCTCAGACCTCTCTAATTGCCTAATATCTTCCAGCTCGATGCCCGGAGCTAAAACTTCAACGCTGTTGAACACCTCCAACCGATCCAGAATCTCGCCCTCTTCACCTCTCCGCAAATTCCTGCTAATGCGATTCCCTTCACCGCAATCGATCTGCAAATTACGCCCCGATGCAGATTAATCTTCATTGAACACAGATTTTCTTACCTTCTGGCACTTCGATCTGCACAGCTGCAGGCTGCACGACAGATGCAGGCGATCGCGATCCGGGAATTTGAACGCGGAGAACTTCGACGAAGCTTCTTGATGTCTCATCATACCTATGGATCTACTGTGGCCTTTCGATGGTTCTGGCAGTAAAAGTTCATCAACTGGACACCCGTTGTCATCTAATAGCTTTTGCGATGAATCTCCCAGACCATCGTGAGCCACGCAATCTACGACTTTCCAACCGATTCCAACTAAAAGTAAATAAACAGTTTCGTAACATATATCAATATATTGAGTTGTAATAAACACTGTTAGGTCTAACCGTTATTGGAGTGATGAGGTATTACGTATAGGTGTTAGTGGGTAATAATTTTATTCAATTGATTATTGAAAGTAAACCGGAAATTCATTTACTTTTACATACTTATTCATTTTCACATCATCTTCTTAATCATTCATTACATCCATTTCTTAGAGTCATTTAATCTATTTCCCGTTGCAACGTGACCTAATAAATAAAATACAGTTTTTACTTGAGAAACTAATTCGAGGTTGCATTTTTCTCAATAGATTTATTTCAATTTAAAATGTGAAAATGAATAATATATCATAATTCATTATTATTTCATAATTATCTATTTTATTTTACCTACAAATATTAAGTAATTATGAATGAAATGTCCGATTACCTCAAGTATTAAATTTGATACCTACAAACACAACAGTAATTTAAAAAATTTCCCATTGCAAAGTAAAAATTATATATCGTTTTCAATTTACATACAATTTCGAATTGTAGTCACTTCATATATTTCATAATGCATAAATGACAATTACAATACACGCATTTTACTATTGTCTTTATAATTTCACACAAAACAAAGAACTTATATAACTAATAGTTAAATGTTAAATATATTACTTTGATAAAAAAAAAATATTTTTTTTAACAATTAACATCAAAATTATTGGCATAAAAGACATTTCAAACATATACAAAATGGAATTTTCCTCATTTTGTCCTCAATGATTGTAGGTACTTTTTTAAACACGACGAACTAAATACTTGTTATAAAGTACTTGCCTTATTTGACAAGTGGATGTGCGTTATATCCAGAAAATAAATAAATTGTGATATCAAATCAATCAAAAATAATTCATAAGTTTTAATTAAGATTAGGATAACTTTTAACTGTTTAGTTTCAATTAATTAATTTATTAGTAAGATATGAAATGTTATTATTTTCTTCTGCTTAAGGAACAAAACAATAATTTTTATATTGAAAAAAAAAATATAAATTATTATTGAAATTAAAAAACAATCATGATACATTTATAATTAAACTATATAAATTTTGTTGATTTTTTAGATAATTCTTTTTGTAGCTATGTACCATTATATCTTTTATAAATTATCCATCTCCAGGCTTTTAAGTGCCTTATGGTTTAGTTAAGTGGAGTTTAATTAACCGATCTTTATTTTTCTGATAGTTTTTATCAAAATATCTTTTTACTATTGTATCTGCAACATTTATAAGAAAAAAAATGTTTAGCAGATAAAGTGATATTTTATTTTATACGAACTAATAACTTTTATTGTATTTTGATGTTTGTTTAATTAGTGTAGTTTGAAATTTTACAACTACAATTAATTAAAATACTTTAGATATATTCATCAACACAAGTGTAAAGTGTCTCAAATGTTAAGTTCATTTTCTATTTTGGAATTTATTTTAAACTTTGAATGAAACTTGTTATGAATACTATTAAAGTGTAGTTGTTTCACGTTTCATTTTGTGCAAATCTTATCAAACATATTATTTGCTCAATTATTAAAAAATTCTTTAAAATTAGAAAATATTAAATAAGAAAAAATATCTTATAGACTTTTTGAAGTGTAATTTACCCGGTAACGTAGATTTAACAATAAGGACTGCTTCTTCTCCAACTTGCAAAATTCCATCCTTCTGATTTACATTCGAAGGAGCAATTTCCATCCACGCCCGAGCAGCTAACAAAGCATCGTTCAATTCCTTCGTCTCGGAGGAATAATTTTCAGGAGAAATTTCCTTGGACCATCCTTCTTGTTTCATCCGCCCAGTCCTGGAACTGAATCAAGATTACCTCATTTACCGAAGTTAAATGGAACATCGCAAATAAATTTCACTGTCTCAAGTTGATAACCATCTAATTGCGAAACAACAATAAAAAAAATGTTTTCTCATTTATCAACGAACCATTAATAAAACCGTTCCGCATCATTTGCTTAGTTTAAAATAGAGTTATTTCATAAAATCTCACCTTCTATCTCTTTTCTCAGTGATAATCTCCTTCATAATGACCTCCTCCATCATGCGGCTATTCACAGAGAACGCGCTGTTTTCTATACGACATTGCACCGTGCGTTCCTGATCTTTAATCTGCCTAAGATGCTTATCCTGCTGCACCACAACTGTTATCATGTAGAACATTTCGTCTGCGTTGGAGGTCAGACGAACTCCGCATCCTGAAGTCGGAAAGCTCACGGAAACGTCCTTCTTCATCACACCTAGGAAGGATAACCATGAACCAACCCCAGATAGTTGATAATTATAAACTTACCGTAACCTCTGCATTCCTGCGAGAAGTCCTTCGCGAAGATGATCCCTTTGAAAGGCTTCTCCGTCGTCACGCTCACGTTGAAATTCCTGAGATCGCAGGAGGTGTTTATATGCAGGATCCTGTTCTGAGTGACAGGACGATGTCGTAAGCTCGGCGGAAAAGCTGCCATAGTCGCCGTTGCCAGGACGACTGTGAGAAAGACCTGGCAATGTGAACGCTGCGACATTGCGCTTCCGTTTCTGCAATTGAAAATGCGATTTTAATTATTGCAAGGATCGTTATGAGCACTGCACGTAATACCATTGCGAAGCGTGAGATTCTAACGAAAACAAATACAAATAAAAAGTATGTATACAACAAAAGTGGAAAACGTTGAACTCTGAAAAAAAAAATCAAAGTTTGTTCTTACGTGCAGCAAACGCTTTAATTAAATTAAGAGGTACGATTTAAGAGCACTCCACATATAACGCTCTTCGGGCGTCCGTTATAATGACATGGTAATAATGGTCGGACCGTTTTACGTAATACAATGTAAATGCGCGGAGTTATTTTAATTGTCGGACGGATCTCCTTTGTTTTATACTATTTCGAGCGGATTGCGATTCCCGTTATCGTGCGCACTATTTCTATTAAGTTATAATTATGGTACGTATACAGTTATCAGTGGATACGTAACATAATGTTTACGTGTTGGAATATATTTTATTCACTGCGGAACGTCCTGTTTCTGAAGAAAGAAGAGTTCGGATTCTGTACGTAATGTTTTAACTGTTTTCTCGTGTGTGCTTTTGTGTCGGATCATGCAATTTGCCTTTCTTATTGAATCCGACATCAAAATCGTTCATCAATCACAGCGTTTATCTTCTGCTCGCATCTCTAACGGTTCGAATGGCAGAACCATTTATTTATTCCCAATTATTTTTTTTTTTCAAAGAATTAATTGACTATTATTTATTGCTTACAGTCGGAACGTTTCAAATATAGTTATGAAAACAATTATAGTAATACTTATTCATTGTGAGTAATTGTTGTTTTGTTATCGATAAAATTTAAATATAAATTATTGTTTAGACAAGCATTGGATTCAAGATAGCGATTCAACAAAATGTAATGAATTACAACAATTTCTTGTAGACAACAAATATTAGAGTTAGTCTTGCATTTATTAATCCACCCACGGTATTCTTGAGATATTGCACCTTCTGATTTCCACTTTGCTAAATTTCCTTAACGATAAGAACTATAAATAACTCTTGACGTAAAACGTTAAAAGATTTTCGCGAAAAAACTGAAACATTTTCAGACGATGATATTTTTAAATTTCATGCAATTTAAAAATATCTTTTTGTGGATCAAAATAGTTGAATCTTTCCAAAAATATCAACAAGAACTTTTGGTCACCTCAATAGAATATAAAGCAATTAGAGAAGGATGTGGATACAGTAGAACTTTTATGAGCACCATTGTAATGTTTTTATCAGTGTGCATATCAGTGTGCTCAAACAATTTTGTTAGTCGATTTTGAAGCAATTCATCACAAGAAGATGCGCGTTTTGGTTTAATACGAGAAGCAGTGAATTATGTATGTGCATTTTGAAAATTTCTCTATATGTACAATGAAAAACTAAATGTTTTTAGAATCTTTCCATGTGTAATTTAATTATTTATTTTGTTTGGATGCACTTTCTCATGTATTTCGTAACTCTTTGACGTATTTTCTAAGTGCGATTTATTTTATGCGGTCCCTATCCACCGCATAAAAAAAGTTTGTTTAATGTATTATACAAAGTTATTTGTTATATGTAAGAATTTATGAAAATTTCGAATATTTTTTTATGCGATATTTTTATGCACCTACCTACCTACCGCACAAAAACAGGTTTTAATTACACTGTACTACAAACAATTAACTTCATTCTATCATTCTTCAAACTATTAAAATGCATCCAATAACATCATACCAATTCAATAATCTCTAAATAAATGTAGTTTGGTAAGAATAATTTGTGAAATATTTAAGTTTTTGTCGTATTTCATATTATATTGGCATAATTATTATCAATATATTGATTTGAAATGATTATATCAATAATTTGAAAGTTTGCAACTAATAAAAAATTATATTTATTTTAAGCGTATCTGAATTTAATGTTTTACATTTTGTTCCAATTATAAAATATTTTATCTACCTCTTATTACATTTGTTACAAATATAATATAAAATATTGTTAATTATTACATTTGACACTTTATGCAATATTACCAAAAAAAAGAATACTTTCATAAACTTATTTACTCTTTTTTTAATCTCAATTTGTTCTTTTCTTCTAAATTTTATAAATTCATGTAAAATTACCATTAAAATAGTTCTATATACATTATTATGAAATATTCATGTATTTTTATTCGTTTTTATTCGAAAAATTGATCAAATTTATATAAAGAAACATAATTATTATTAATTAGAAAAAAGAACATGTATAATTTCAAAAATAATAAAAAGCTTTATTTGGCATTAATTAATGTTATGTGTCTCTATTATAGAATTATATTCATCATATAAATGGAAATAATAATTTCAACTATTTTAAACTGTGAAATATGAAAATTACAAAGATATTTTTTTAATTTATTTATTTAAACATATTTATCAGACAAAATCTATATCAATGGTCACATTTTCTTTATTGTTAATTAATGTGAGTAAATTTAAGTTCGCGATTGACATTAAATAGATAATCTTTCCCGGTGGATAGTTACATTAATAATTACTTAAATCTATATACTAAATCTAGTGGTATGCAACGCTTCAGCCTGTTTGTGGTTTCACTGTTGTCGAGTAGGCCAATAGCCAGAACATTAGTATGTGACTCTAGAATATCTTGGTATCTACTACTAAATGTTGGTATAATATTTCTTAGGTATTTTGATTGGAACCTTTGTATAATTTCTATATTCGATTTACTTATTTCAACATATTAATTAGCCAAATTATATAACAAAAAATAATTTATACAAGAAACATATTAATAAAGAAAATGTATCCTTCTTTATTAATATGTTTCTTGTATAAATTATTTTTATAATTGTATTTCTGTCTGAATTTAATTTATTGTTAACGCTTAATTTAAATTAAATACTTTATCTGTAAGATATATACTATTTGGATAAGTAAGATTTTAAAGACATATTGAAATAACGATGTTTATTGTGAAACTGATGTAATAATTAAGAATAAACTTTAATTGATTGTATTATAAGTTTGAGCATACAAACTAATTTAGTTGGTCGATTTATAATAATAATAACACATGTTTGTATAAATTATTTTTATTGTTAAATCATTATACTATAATGTATAAAAAAAAAACTAACTAATTTAAGACATAGAAATAAAAGTAAATTACGTGTTCATAAAAAAATAATTAATGTAAAATTTGAACACAAACTTTAATAACTGTTAATAGATGAGATCAATTTTGATTATACATAAATATTATTATACAATTAACAGTTGTATTCAAGTGATATAACGATATTAATAACAATTATTATCGACACGTGAAATTATAATGAGTTGTTAATCAAACGTTATTTATAATTGGAAATGATTTATGTCAATCATCATTAAGATTAATTTACATAATGTTTGGGTATTCCAATCGTTAAATAAAATAATAAATTATACTTATTCTTAAAAAAATAATAATTTCAGTACCTTGTTATTTCCAAAAAAATATTATATAACATTATTTAAAGTTCTCAATTAGTCCGGTTTTAAACCCTCAGATAATAGCAGAACTGAATATCCGTACTATGCGAGGTATTTCTGTAATTTAATAAATGAAATTTATACTTAAAAAATAATAATTAATATTTTGTAATATTTTGCATAGTGCAAAAATTCACAATAGTTCGGTTTGGAAATTAAAAAAAATAGTTTCATTAAGCAAAATACAATTTATTTCCAAAAAATTTGTATATACACTTATTTAAAGTCCTCCATTTTTCCGGTTTTAAACCTTGAGATATTGGCAGACCCAATTATCCGTACTATGTGAGGTATTGCTGTAATTTAATAAATGAAAAAAACTTGAATAACTGTGAATCCATTTTTATTATTTACTAATATTGCTATATAATTAATAGTAATGTTAAGCATAATAGTTTATTAATAATAATAATAATTGTTGGCACGTGAAGTTAAATAAAATTTAATGAGCACTTAATCAAACGTTATTTACCATCAGATATGATTAACGACGATCATCATTGATATTAATTTACATAATGTTTGGGTCTTACGGTAAAATCAGCCGGTTCGCACAGTGACCCAATGAACGGGTGGGTGTTTGTTAGGTCAGTGTGGTAAAAATGCGGTCGACCTTGACTATCTCTATACTATATTACTACTACTACTGCTGCTGCTACAGAAACGCACATACGTTATACACACATATATAGAATGTATTTAATGATTTCATTCAGTTTACCGCTAACTTAAACCGCGCATCCAGACAAAGAATACCGCAGACGGACGATGGACCCGACAGGTTACATAACCGTAACTTGCCACACATTTTTATCGCTTCCATTCAGACAGCGTGAAAATGTAAAGTACCTCTTATTTCTTTTAATGGCAATGCTTTTGTAATATACATTGTCTTGAGAATATTTCCAGATAAAAAACAGTACATGAATAATGCATTAGAATTGAATGAAAATAATGACTTTTCTTGGAAAGCTGATGTTTGGGAAAACAGAGAAGTCATTTAATAAATGTCATCTGTCAAAAATTATATTCTCTTCTGATAAGATAAAATCATTGAAAGTCATCAAGATGCATCAAAGCTACTTCTTCTACTGAAATCATACAGTTTAAGACTTTTCCAGTTATTACAAAAGTTTTACTGTAATTGCAAGGTCAGTGTCGTGGAACCTAGTTTATAGAACATAAATTGTTCATAAAGATTCTTAAAAAAGTGGATTGTTCGAAAACCGAAACTCTTCCACAAACCAATAACGTACAATTATAAAGACCTATCCAGTTATTATAAAAGCTTTACTGCAATTCAAAGGTCAGAGGGGAACCTCGTTTATCAAAAATAATTCTTTTATTAAGGTTCTTAAAACTGCATTGTTCGTAAACCGAAACACTTCTACAAACCAATAGAATTTTCATGTTATAAAAAACTGGATTGTTCGTAACCCGATACTTGGTCCTTCACAAACCAAAAAC